CACACACACAGACACACACACAGACACACACACAGACACACTCAGAGACGCAGTTAGACACGCAGTTAGACACACACAGATACACACACAGAGACACACACAGAGACACACACAGAGACACACACAGAGACACACACAGAGACACACACAGAGACACACACAGAGACACACACACAGAGACACACACAAACAGACACACACAGAGACACACACAGAGACACACACAGAGACACACACAGAGACACACACAGAGACACACACAGAGACACACAGAGAGACACACACAGAGACACTCACACACAGAGACATACACACACACAGACACACAGAGACACACACACAGACACACACAAACACACAGTGTGAGTGAGTGGGTGAGTGAGTGGGTGAGTGAGTGAGTGACTGAGTGAGTGAGTGAGTGGGTGAGTGACTGAGTGAGTGACTGAGTGACTGAGTGTCTGAGCGAGCGAGTGAGTGAGTACACGCTTTATCCCTCACAGCTTGATGATGTGTGGATGCCGGAAGAGCTTCAGGTTCTGGATCTCCCGTTTGATCTTCCCCACGACGTCCAAGCTTCGGATTTTGTGACGGTTCAGAATCTTCACAGCGACCTTGTGGCCCGTCAGCTGGTGCTCACCCACTGTCACCATCATCATCAGTGTCATCATCGTCATCATCGTCATCATCATCAGTGTCATCATCATCAGTGTCATCAGTGTCATCATCATCATCAGTGCCATCATCAGTGTCATCATCATCAGCGTCATCAGTGTCATCAACATCATCATCATCATCATCAGTGTCATCATCATCAGTGTCATCAACATCATCATCATCAGTGTCATCATCATCATCAGTGTCATCATCATCATCAGTGTCATCAACATCATCATCAGTGTCATCATCAGTGTCATCAACATCATCATCATCAGTGTCATCAGCAGTATCATCATCATCAGTGTCATCATCATCATCATCAGTGTCATCATCAGTGTCATCATCATCATCAGTGTCATCATCATCATCAGTGTCATCATCATCATCATCAGTGTCATCATCATCATCATCATCAGTGTCATCATCATCATCAGTGTCATCAACATCATCATCAGTGTCATCATCATCGTCAGTGTCATCACCAGTGTCATCATCATCATCAGTGTCATCATCATCATCATCAGTGTCATCATCATCATCATCAGTGTCATCATCATCATCAGTGTCATCATCAGTGTCATCATCATCATCAGTGTCATCATCAGTGTCATCATCAGTGTCATCATCAGTGTCATCATCATCATCAGTGTCATCATCAGTGTCACCATCATCAGTGTCATCATCATCAGTGTCATCATCATCAGTGTCATCATCATCAGCAGTGTCATCATCATCATCATCAGTGTCATCATCAGTGTCATCATGATCATCAGTGTCATCATCATCATCAGTGTCATCATCTACAGTGTCATCATCATCAGCAGTGTCATCATCATCATCAGTGTCATCATCAGTGTCATCATCATCATCAGTGTCATCATCATTAGTGTCATCATCATCAGCATCATCATCATCAGTGTCATCATCATCAGCATCATCATCAGTGTCATCATCATCAGTGTCATCATCAGTGTCATCATCATCAGCATCATCATTACCATCATCATCATCAGCATCATCATCACCATCATCATCAGCATCATCATCACCATCATCAGTGTCATCATCATCATCATTGTCATCGTCAGTGTCATCATCATCATCAGTGTCATCATCATCAGTGTCATCATCATCAGCATCATCATCAGTGTCATCATCATCAGCATCATCATCAGTGTCATCATCATCAGCATCATCATCAGTGTCATCAGTGTCATCATCAGTGGCATCATCATCAGTGTCATCATCATCAGTGTCATCATCATCAGCATCATCATCAGCATCATCATCATCAGTGTCATCATCATCATGTGTCATCATCATTATCAGCAGCAGCATCATCATCAGCATCATCATCAGCAGCAGTGTCATCATCAGCAGCAGCAGCGAGTGGAGGTGCCAGGCTAGGTGCATCATCACTGTGTGAG